TGACTGCTTTGGAATGTGTACTGCGTTCCGACGGTAGTGCTAAGCGAACAGTTAAATTTTAAAAGCGCGGTTATAAGATCTAACAGATCTTCTTGTTCTCAATGTTTGACGCTGGGACTTGACGCGTAACGTTCATGTTTGTCAGAACAAGTATTTTCTGGCAGAAAAGTGACGAGGAAATTGTTATTCACCGGTTAAACTGAGACTTTAGTCATTGTACGTTGCCATGATGTAAATGATTCGAGTTGGTGCCCGAGTTGACACTTTCGGTAACTCATGGGAGCGGGGTTGGTAATAGGGACGGCGCTGATTTCAGTTTGGATGTAAACATGTTCATTTGAATGTGATACAATACATTTATGAAAAACAACAGATACTTATAATTCAAGAACTGTAACGAAAGGGGCACTGATATATATAAAGTCGTAAATGGGTCACAATTTAAATTACCTCTTAGTAACTGCGACTCCCAAACCCATGGGTAGTATAGTAGTGGTGAAATTCAAAACAGCATGTTTGTAATTTCAGAAACTTCCCCCAGGCCCCAGGGAGAGATTCAGGAGGTAATTGCCCCAGCCCCTTAAGGACGTTTGTGCAAAAATTATCCAGTCGATAGATTTTTTAAAAATTTTTACTGCAGTCAGATAATGAGTTACATGTACTTGTGCCAGAAATGCCAAAAAAAAATTGGGGGTCACCTACTTCATTTCAGAGATAAAGCTTGTGGAAAACTACCCTGAGTTTGAAAAATTGGCGCACGTAATTCAGGATGGTCTGCAGGGGTTTATAGTTAAAAATATTCAAGGTGAGTCAATGGAGGCAAACAATCTTAGTCATATTTTGTAGAAGTGGGTCTGTTGCATTAATAATTCCAAATGTTACCTACGTTTTCACAAAACTCAATCCTTCAAGAGGCATTTGAAACTGCCGCACAGAAAAACGAAGAGCTAAAAAGAACGGAATTTGATGGTGCATTTTGCAAAAAATTCAAACTTCTAGTCAATAGATTTTCTTCATTTTTTCACTAAATATAGAAAATCGGTAGAGAAAATGATAATAGGGTCACTGAATGTCCAAGATCGTTAAATCCAGGAAAAGCTATACATGCAGCAATGACCATTTGCCCTATCATTGTTCATTTTATTACTTAGAGCGCACTCTCATGCATGAGGTGGCATGTGAATTTACATGCGCAGTAAGGATGTGCAGACACAATTAGTGTGAACGTCCTTAAGGCGTGTGAAATGTATGTGTGCAATATAATAGGTGTGCCAAATCCAAAGAAACTTTTGCCTGGAAAAAAGGGAAATGGCATTTCCAAGCCTCTAAAAATACAAATTTCCCGCAGGGCATGCCCCCCAAACCTCCCAATGGTTTGTGCCTTTGGCACTTGGTTAACTTTCTGTTCTGTGCCTTCATGTACAGTCACCAAGAGCAGTTCTTTTCAGAACTAACCCTAACCTGGCCAATCACACTATACAGTGTTTAAAAAATGCACATTATTGGGTCATCAAAACTTTCTCTTGTGGCGGACAAATTTGCTGGTAGAAGAATGTTTTTTAAATGTTGGGGTTTTAAGTAACAAACTTTGGCCTGTGTTCTGGTTGCCAAATTTTCAAATTGAGTAAGTGAACTTTGATCAGATGCTGAATTGCAGTGAAAACAAGGGTAGTGTTCAGATTAATGGGAGGGACTATAGACTGTCGAATGGCAGGAGATTTAACTTATTAAAGACAGTTTTTTCCTAAAAAAAAAAGTATAGAAATATTATTGCATTTCCAGAGGTGCACTGCGTATTTGTGCATATATGGTCTTTACCCCCCTGCCTAAGATTGATGAAACATTCCATAAATCCCAACACCACTGTCATGACTGAAAGAAATTAGATGTGAAATCTCCGTATTTCCTCCACCATTGCTCAGTAAAATCCCCACTATCCGCAGGGGTTTGGGGGTCGGGGTCAATATCGTTTAGTGCATAACCAAGTTCAATGGCCGTACTGTGATAGACCGTCGACATGCTTGTATCACTTGTTTCGTGCCCATGGTGGCTTACTACAGTTTGTTTCAATAATGTGCACTCTGATTGCCTGCCAGACGTCAATATTTTTCGCACCGGAAAAAAATGATGCAAGTAACCACGGGGGTTCAAGAGCAGTTTTCACTTGAGTGTTGAAAGTAATTTTCATTTGCTTTTGAAATTTGAAAGGACTGCTCATTGGAATAGAGGTGGGGGTGGGGGGTGCTCATTGAAAAATCTGACATTCTATCGGGAAAGCATATCAGAAAGGAGGGACTCATTGAAAGTACAATGCAAGGGTCTAAATCAAATCATTACTGTCAGTAATATCATAACTATGTTTCTCCTCTGTCAGTTATATTTGTTGCCAATCTTACTTTGCATTTGAATTCCTTATTTCACATCTTAGTTTAACATTAATTTTGAATCCTTAACATCAAAGATCTTTTCAAGAATTTGCTATTAAAAAGGCTGCATTCTTAATTTAATCACTGAAGAATAACTGTAAGAATGCCTATAGTAAGTCATTTAATTAAAGTTAAATTGCTTTTTTTCTGATCTTTTCTTCAAGAGAAGAGATACAAAAATGTACATTGTATAGCTGCGATAGTGGCAGAACAAGCACTCACAAGGCCACCCTTGACAAGATTAGTTCAGGTAACTTGTTCTTTTTGGTTGTTTGTTTGATCTTGAAATGTGTTTCTTTTACACTTTACACTTTCTTTCTATGCCACTTATGTGAATTTGGTGTTGCCTGGAAACAATATCTGCTCCTTGCTGTGTATGCTTTTGTATACACCTAGCTGTGCACAATGCATTGAATATAATGAATATCATGAAGATGAACTACATGTACAACTTCACAAGAACCAACATTAAATTATTACAAAATTGACCTTCTCAAAGTTGAATCTGGTTAAGTCAATGGTGAATCAAAAGGTCTGGGGGAAGGGTGGAGAATGGCATGCTCTCTGTCCTGTACATGTATATTTAATCCCACACAGCCAATCATAATGTTAACAAATGTACATGTATTAAATGCACAGTACATGTATGTGCCATTACAGTGTTGTAAAAGCTTGAAGCTAATTAACAAGTTTGCAACGGGTGCCATGTGCAGAAACCCATTTGGCTTTTGTTTTGGTCATTTTCTTGGAATGCCTGGTTATCAGAGACTGAAAATCTGTTTTAAGCTCCAAAACTGATTTTAGTTCCAAGTGCTAATCAAGAGCAAGCTTGGTGACGCCCTTTTTTTTTTATTGAGATTAGAGATCAAATCCCCCATAAGGTTACTTCCCACCTTCAAGGGCACAAAAGAAATCGTTTTTTTTTCTTTTCTTTGACAGAATTTAAGTCAGTCACTTCATCTGAAGTTTACAAAAGAAAAATATTAAAAATGTCAAAAAGCAGCCGAGTAATTTAATTAATAAGTTTCTTTCTCTTCAATGCGACAGCGAGATAGAAAACATGTTGCGAAGCAATGCTTTTCCTGGAAAATCAGGAACGCTAGGAGGTCCTGTTGTTCCACTCGTTTGCGGTTTCATAAGGCGAGATAATCTCCTGGCGTAGCGCAAGTTATTTAAGAATGTTTACAAGCTAAAATCTCGCATTTGATTTTGGGAGGAATACCTCCACTTTGAGCGAATTTATAGGGTATGCAGATTTGACGGATTTTCGTTAAATTTTGCCAGAACATTCCAGGGGTAATGACAAATGAAAGTGTGTCGGGAAATTTGGATATTTAACATATTTTTCCTGTGGTGTCCACTTACGCAACACGTCTTGTGTATTTTTAGCTATTCCAACTTAAGATGCAGATGTCTAGACAACCAGTCAGAATATCGAAAAAGTCTGACACACTTTTGTTGATTGATGCCTTGTGAATAAGATTGTGCAGCCATTTTGCTCATGTGGCGGCATCCAATAGCCGATAAATTCAATAGAAGAACCCTCTGTCGTTTCATACCTTACTTGCTCCTGACGTTTCCTAAAAGAAAAACTTGCTTAAATTGTATTTTTATCGTAAACTACATTTATTGAACTCTCTTCTGATATGTAGTTTGTCGGGGTTTTATTGAAACTGGTGTGCGTACAATTTTTTTCCCGAAGGACACTGCCCACGAAGGTGGGAAGTAACTTTAAATGTTTCAAAATTTAAGGCAGCTCTGAAATCATTCCAATGAAATCGTTCTCAACACGATAATAACAATGTGTTGGAAAGTCTTGGCAACTGTTGCTAACCACTTGGAAATAGATAATTGCAAAATGTCAGTTTTTATGTACTCTGTAGTTATAACCCTAAAGCATTATAAATAATTGCTTTTTTTTGAGAACTTTTATTATTGTAATACATTGTTTGTTAATCCCTTTGTAGACTGGAATACATTGCTATGATGGGGTGCATCGTGAATTCAAAGCAACTGTTGGAAATGTGCTGTTCAGCTCACTCAGCAATGGTGAGTTCATGATTCCTATTTTACTATCTCGTCTTATTTAAGATGATTTTTACAAAACATTCAAGTAATAATGGCAAATAATAGCAAAAATAAGTTACCTTCACATGTGCTTGGGTTGGCAATTCGCTTTTCTAGTGTGGTGCTGTGCTGCTCCTTCCTCTCCTTCCTCTTGTAGTACTTCCTTCTCCCCAGTTCTGAGCTTGGGAATCTGGGTTTTAGTTACATACATGTATTGATCACTATTAATTTTTCCTCTGAACATAGATGTACATGTATGGCTCAGCGTCATAGGTACCAGGGCAAGTGTGGGCATATGATGCTCGTTGATGGGTGTGGGTAAGGCATGCCAATGGGTTGTTCTAGTACCTAAGTTTAGTTTTTCAGGCTTGGTAAATTAATGAACCATATTTTTTTGTCAGACATAATTCAGGCCTGAATAATTCAGACCTTATTTGGGCCTAAATCATTTCAGACCTGAATTGTAGCCTAATAGTAACCTGAACAGGATGTAAACACACATGATATCCTTGAATGACCTGATTTAGGCAATCCCATCACTGTTTCTAAAGGCAGCTATGCACTTTTAAGTTATTTTAAGATCATGGTTATCTAAAACTTAATTTGCACCATTACTAAGAGTACATCCCAAAGTACATGTAGCTTAGGAAAAGTACTATTACTGCAGGCCGAGACTAACTTCAGTTAATATACATGTAAGATGCTCACTAACTGTTTTCATGATCTTTTGGGCCAAATCCTTTCGGATCTATTAATGATCATTGCCTATGAGCTCAAATATTTTAGCAAATAGCTGCAAAGCATGTGTTTTGTACTCTGCATACCAGTGTGAGAAGAATATGAGAAGAATTCAGGTGTCCAAGCAGAATAAGAGATTTCCATGACAATGATAAATAATTATTAGCATTGCATTAAATGTTTCAATCACTAATTTCACGCCTGATAAGGGCTACAGTACCAAGCCTTAAGAATTTGAGTTCTTTAAGGCTTGTTTTTAAGGCCTATTAACACAAGGTTCTCTTGCACACTTTTGTCAGGCCTGATTTTGCTAAACTCAGGCTTTAAAGATCGGGCCATAATTATTAGGTTACCACAAGGCTTGGTATTTTCGTACGGTAGACTTGACCAGGGCAAGAAAAGTTTGAAAGCTACTTGTTCAAGGGCAAGCTGAAACTCAACTTTTTTTTGGAGCCCTTCACTGTTTAAAATGGCATACATTTTTCTGCTTAAAGATTTAGCATTTTTGACAGGAAATCAAACACTATGATCTCAAACAATACATTTTTCTCATTTAAAGACTTAGACTGACAAAAAAATCTGTAAGAAGATGTTATAGTATTGGTAAAAAGGAATTAAATGGTTGTCACTGGCTAAAAATATGGTTATTGGACGTTTCGGCCACTACTGTTGCCTTCTTCAGCAAAAGATGGAAAATGCAAATGTTAAACGGCGTCCTGCTAGAATATGTAATAGATGTGTGATAAAA